TTTGGGTTTAGACCCCACTGGGAGTTGGGCATCTGAGTGTTAAAGACAAGAACACTTCTGTGAGCTGCTTTCAGTTAAGTCTGCAGCTTTGGGGCGAGTAATTCAGACCCTGGATCTGTGTTAGAGCAGACGGACGTGTCTGGCTCAGCAAGACAGGGTGCTGGGGTCCCAAGCTGGCAGGGAAAGCAGGGGCAGAGGTAGTCTTGACACATCAGGTGGCAGCTCCCAAGGCGGGTTCTGTGATCCAGCCCATCACAATACTACATATTGCAGTGGCTGAAGGCATGTTTATTTTTCTGTGATTTTATTTATCTTTTTTTCCTGAGTGGGGCAGAACCACCACAATGAACAAGGACTTGAGGGGACTCGGGACTCCTAGGTTCTATTTCTAGATCTGCCTGGGACTTGTGTGAGACTGGCGCAAGTCACTTTACCCGATCTCTCTCTACCTGGTTTCCCATCTGTGCCAGGTGGATGATAACCAGAGAAGAGGGGTGTTGTGTCATTCGTGTTTGTAACGTGGTTTTAGATCCTCCGATGAAAGGCTGTCACCAAGTGGGTGCTTCTGTCTTCCCAACTATCGGCCAAGTATGTTACTGCCACGCCCAGTCTCTTTCAAGCAGCAAGTTTATTCTCTTTTAGAAGTGAGCAAACAGAAAACACTCATTCTTTGCTCTCAGGCTTCAGGCCACCCCTGCCAGGAGTCTACGGCACCTTGTCCCTGGCGATTTCCTACTTCTAGTCAGCTCAGCTCAGGAGAAGGGCTGCCTGCCCTTGCTCTAGGGCCGTGGTTCTCAACCCGCGGGCCACTTGCGGCCCAATCAACACACAGCTGCGGCCCATGTGACATTCTCAGAGCCATACAGGTAGTATTGGATGCGACCCACAATGGTAAATAGGTTGAGAACCACTGCTCTAGGGACTTGCCACAGCTGTTAGCTCCACTCCACCATGGCTGTCCTTCGCCAGGTACGGCCTGTCCCGATCACTCTCCCTCTGCTAGGCCTCTAAGAAGCTCTTTATAGGCCCAGGAGTAGCCCAGCCCCTTTTAATGGGCTGGATTGGGCTCACCTGCTCTGACACAGGGGCCCAGTCTACTCACAGGGACAAGCTGTCCTGTGACAAAGGTGCTTGAGAAGGACAAAGGAGGATGGTGATATTGATTTTATCCTAGATCATATTTATTGCTCCTTTAAAAGTGAACGGCAAAGATTTTGTAAATATGTTTTCCAAGTTGTTTCAGACAATCAACTCATTAATGGTGTGGCAGTCACCACCCCCTCACAAAGCTAAGGGAAGTGGGTTTTGGAAGGCAAAGTTCACCCTCAACTCACCGGCAAGTAGGCAGATCTGTTTCATAGCCACTCTATGGCCTCAGGCCTGGAATAATATCCCCATACTATGTAGGGTTTTGTGGCCTCTGGCTGTGTGTCATCGTGAAGGGTGGAAAGATCCATCATGTGGGAAGGAAGGATTGCTCAGTGGTTGGGGGTGGGTGAACGGCAGGTCTGGGACTTGAGAGAAACCAAGTCTGCGTGCTCTACCTCAGGCTTCCTGTGTAACCCTGGTCAAGTCACTTAGGGCCAGATTTTCAATGGTGTTCAGATTTAAATGGGAGTTAGGCACCCAGATGCTTTTGAAAATCCCACTGGGCACCGAAGTAACTTTTAAGCTCTGGCCCTTAGCCTCTCTGTGCCTTGGTTCCCCATCTGTAAAATGGGGACAGTAGCACTGTCCTGCCTCACAGGGGCGCTGTGAGGATAAATGCATTAAAAATGGAGAGGTGCTCAGATACTATGGTAACAAGGATCATCAGTTAGAGGAACCTGTTTGGGGGGTCTATGAAGATCGGGTGTGGTGCTGAGCAGTGCCATCTGTAGATAAATCTCTGATAATTTTCATATGTCTTTACATTGTGCCTCTTCATATAACCTTGTGGTGGGTCTACCCACGTGTGACCTCTGTTTTCATGGGACGTTGTATCAAAGCCTCATTTAGAAACTTTGCATTGCCCTTGGTATAATATTATAGCCCCTAAGGATAGAATAAGATAGAAGAAAAATTTCTTTTTGCTAGGAGTAGAACAAGAGCTCTCCCCTGCCCCCACTCTTAATCAATTGCCCTGTTGAATGAATGAGGTGTGGATGAACAAGGCATGAAAGGCAGCACCTCCAGACAGCCGCAACCATTGCAGATTGGCTGGGATACAGAACCAAGGACAACAAAACGTGTCAAGTGGGCTCATTAAAGACGAGCAGA